ACCAGTATGTTAAGTGTTGCTTTGACACTACATGGAGACAAGCGGACAACTAAAATTATCCACTTGAGGTCTTACTCCTTCTTGTGGGAAGGCTGTCTCACTCTCTCTCTCTGGCAAATAAATAAATAAAATCTTTAAAAAAAAATAAATAAAATAAAAAATTAAAATAAATAAATAAAAAATTCTTTCCACACATAAATACATGTCTGATTCCCAGATTTCAAGCCATCCTACTTAATTAAGGTTTATGCCGTAAAAGGGGTTGCTATTTGGAGCTTTGAAAAAAATCGTCCAAGGTTCAGAATAGCTCAACATCCAAAGCCAATTTTCTCGGGCGAGACAGCACAAATAATTCATCCCCATAGTAATTAAGATATTGAAAAGTACAAAATCTTGACAAAACCTCTGTTAAACTTTATTCGGCACTCATACTGGCTTCTAGGACGATTTTACATGTATTTGGATATGGGTATTTTTGATTTGACCCCATACTGTATTTTTCCCCCAAAGTTCATTTCTTTCCTCAGCATTTTACTAGGAAAAGTATCAGCCATCATCCTCAGTGTGATACACATTATATAATTTATACAGACAATAGGCAGATCAAAATAGCTTTATTTCTTATGCCTAGCTATGATTTAACAATACCACTCCAATCCCCTGCCTTTTCTTCTTTCTATAAGCATATTTCCATTTACATTTAGAACTGGATGCCTTCATTCCTTACATTAATACCTCACTGCTATTTTACTTTATAGGAACAAATAACTCTTCCGTCCCTCATAATAGCCTTTAAAGATTTGCCAGAGAATTGAGATTTAGATTCCTGAAATACAGTAGTAGTATGTAAACATCCCCCCGTTTGGTCATCTCTTTCCTAGAAAACAGAGCAAAAGTGGGCGAATCACTAAAATATAGAATACATGTTTACTCTTTATATCACCAATTATACATACTTCTGAAGCAATAGGCAGACCACAATATAAGTTCCTAAGAGTGCCAACCATCAGAGGGAAATGATCAGGGTTTAATGAAACACTTTCACACCAATAATCAGAATGCTGGACGAGAATCCTAACATCTGAGTCCCAAACTGACTGGGCCTACCATTCCAAGCAGTCCTAACAGCACTTAGAAATCATACCAGAAAGACATCTCTCCACATAATGTGTCTCTAGTTACCCAGCAGTTGCATACACTGGAGTTTGCCCAAACAATTCAGTCTCTGAATTTCTCTCAAGATTAGTTTGAGCTTGGTCTCCTGAAACTGTGGCTTGGCCAAAAAAACGCTGATTAAACACCAAAAACTAAACAAAACCAGGATAATCTGCATACACACCTGGGAAGCTGCTGGAGCTGACCAACCTCGGCCCAAGGAAACCTCAAAGCGCACAAAAACTGTAAACGACAGACGTCACAGGAAGGCATCAGGAAACAGCAATCCTTTGCTGCCATCTACTGGCCATGTGTTGAACCACCTCAGAAAGTTTACATCATTGTAGCAAGCAAATTTTCATTAGGCTTCTTAGAGCCCCTGAATAAATGTAGCCACCTTCTAGACAAATGAGTGGTAATACCCACAAGATAAGCAACATAACCAGCTTGGATGCTGGGTATGAGGTATATTTATTTAATATTTACTGAATAAATAAAGATTTTTAGCTTCCCTGCCTGCACAGCTTTATGAATCAAGCCCTAGTGGCTCTCTCTTCCTTCCACCTGGCCTGCTTCTCTTAAGTTGTCCTTGACATTTGAACTATAAACCCTGTCCTTTACTTATTAGACTGTGAGTTCCAAGAGGACAGGGACTGTGTCTACCTTGTTTACCATTTCCTCAAATACCTAGCCCGGTACCTTTAAAAATGTTGATAAAAGAAAAGATGCGGAAACTTTACTCTAACACTGTGTGCTGACCATACTGGAATTAAATAAATAAATAAGAAAGAAATGATGCCAAGAGACAGCAAAGTGCCAAGGAACCTGTCAAACACTGACAGGGGAACTGCCTTACACTGGTAGAGTAGAGCACTTCATGGTATGCTGAGCACTTTTACTTGTGATATCTGTTACTCTCAAGAACTCCTTGGCTCTTTCACAGATGAAGACACTGAGATTCAGAAGTTTAAGTGACTTGTCCCGAGTCACTATGAAAAGTAACTATCTTTCTAGAATTTTGTGAGACTGCAGTTGGGGCCGGCCCTCGCTCTGCATTACTATGCAGGTCCACCTGGTAAATGCACATAAGCACCTTCAAATTTTGTATATGACTGTGGACGTGAAGTACATTAATTCCTGGATCCTGGATTCTAAGTGCCAATTTAGGAAGATACCATTTTCTGGTGAGGATTAAATATTTTAGTCAGTGTCCAGTCTTCAAATTTGTTATTGAGCATCACGGATTAAATGTGACAGGCATGCACAGAGCACTTAGCTATCAAGTATGTTAGTATGTGAAAGTCCTATGGCCAAAGCCTCAACTTTTCTCAGTAACATCAGGCTACAGTTCAGCAGAAGCACAAACAGTCTTCAACCCAGGGACTCAAGTTAGGCTGGCTTGCGTCAAATCCCAGCTCCTCCTTTTACTAATAAGATCCTGAACAAGTTATTCACCTTTTTTGTGCCTCAGTTTCTACAGCTGGGGATCACTCTAATTTACTTCACCAGGTTACTGCGAGGATTGAGTTAAACTAGATACACCTAGTAATCCTAAGTGGTCAGTTAAATGTTAGCTATTCTATTCTATTTAGCAAAGTTCACTTTCTGGGTTTAAAGAGAAGGCTGTTTGTTAACATCGGAGAGCCCGGCATATGCCATACTACTTCCAAGTATTTTCATTATTCTTTCCAACAATCCATCAAGTAGGTACTGCAGTCATCATTTGATAGCAACAGACACTGAGGTTATGAGATCAGTACACAGTTTTTCAAGATTGCACAACTACTGAGGGGTCTGGCCTCGGAGACAAGTTACCTGCACCTTGAACTGTTGCTCATCAGCATCTCCGGCAGGACTGACAGTCAGGACAACTGCAAGGGTGCCTTGCCAGGGCACACACAGGAATAACCAGAGGTCGAATTCCACCTTCTCCATCTGCCAACGTCACTGCCAACACGGTACACACATGTGTGTGTCACATGGCATGTCACAAAGTGTACAAAGCAGAGCAACAACCTGCGTGGCCTTACTAGAGATACCAAGTGAAGGTCATGACTCTCAACCTAACGTGTCTAAAAATACAAACACCTAGACACAGTGTGACAATCCAAACGACCTTTCCTCACTAGGCAGCAGTCACACACTAAACAAGAATGCCAAAATGTTTTCCAGGCTGAGCCATACCTTTAGTCATGCCAGATTCATCTAGAAAATATCACTAGGGAAAAAGAAATCCCTCCACAATCAAAGCTTAGGTTAACTGTTTTAATTGGTGCTCAACTGTTGGTTGACCAACCATTTCTACAAACTGGGTTTTTCTAGCATAATGCTCTGAAGTGAAATGTGAAAAGGTAGAAACTGACAGAATCTGGTGGGACAACTGCTCTCCACTAAGACATTAAGTCTGTGTTACTACATGATGCCCAAGAAAATGGTCCATTTTTACGGTTATGAATGGAAACATGAAAGCTAAAAGGAAAAAAATCTGCTGATAGTACAGACTTTTTCCCTTGTAATCAGGAGTCCACCAGCTACAGCCCATGAGCTGCATCTAGCCGGCACCCTGTTTTGTGCTGCTGGTAATCTTGCATATTTTTTAACGTTTGAAAAAAAAATCATAATATTTCATGACATGGGAAAACTATATGAAATTCAAATTTCAGGGTCCATAAGCTTATGTACTGTCTAGGGCTGCTTCCACACTACAATGGCAGAGTTGAGTAGGTGTGACACAGATGTATGGCCCACAAAGCCTGAAATACTTCCTACTTTACAGCAGACGTTTGCAGACCCCTGTCCTAGATTATACTGAAATGAAATTTTACAGCCACTTTGTATACATTTCACAAAACCAGTGGAAGATTTTCAGTCACTTGAAATAGGGGAAAACAATTTTCACATATAAATTTCCATGGCCTGCCTTGAATAATTAAGGCACATGCAGGAAAAGAATCATCTTTTACAATCTGAAGTGAAATTGTTAACAGCTTTAAAATCTCTATTCCTGGGACGCCTGGGTGGCTCAGTCAGTTGGGCGTCTGCCTTCGGCTCTGGTCATGGTCCCAGGGTCCTGGGATCGAGCCCCGCATCGGGTTCCCTGCTCAGCGGGAAGCCTGCTTCTCCCTCTGCCTGCCGCTCCCCCTGCTTGTGCTCTCACTCTCTCTCTCTGGCAAATAAATAAATAAAATCTTAAAAAAATAAAATAAAATAAAAT